CCTGTCAACACTCGTGTGCAAATAGTTTATGGCACTTCGCACAATATCGCATAAATCTCGCTGGGGCTAACAACACATTGGCAAGATCTTTTAGCGATAATATGAAAATAGTTTTGTCTTTGAAAGTGCCGCTCATTCAAATGAACCGGCACTGGTTCCGCTGCAGCGAGCCAGCTCACAGACACGCAAAGGTATTTACTGAAAATTGCTTTACATTTCTCAGCTGTCAGCGAAACTTATCAAATAATCAAACAATTCCATGTGTGAAATGATGTTGTTCTTGCTCGTGCTCACACCGAGTCCCCAACTAATTGAACCCTAGTATCTCTATAGCTTGTATGAGTATGAAATATATGTGAGTTTGCATTGTGTGCGGCCGTCTGTCTGTCTGTCTGTCTGTTGTGCAGCAGCTCGACATGCTATTTAAATTAATAATGCCGCAGTTTACATTGACAGAGGGCGGCCAGCGAGCAGCCTCAGTCATTAGGCGCATTAGCCGGCATTAGCAGGCATGTTATGTGCATCCGTAGGTACACTGGGCCGCAGCTGTCTATAATCATAATAATATTGTAGTAATATCTAGTGTGCAGCATCTACTTGAGATTTCACAAGTTCACAGACGAGCCGTAAAAAGTATTACAGCTTCAGCTTCAGCTCCAGCTTCAGTTACAGCAAATATTATTAAATAAACAATCAGGCATTGCTCATACGCGACAAACGAGCCAACGAGTCAGTCAGTCAGTCCGTTGGCTACATATCATAATACATATTTCTTCATCGACACTGTATTGACAAATTGCATAAGCGCACTGACTGCTGGCTGACACTGTAACAGCAGCCACAGCCACACAATTAGCCGAAATGCAGCCGAAAACCAAGCCCAGACCTCAGGCTTAACGTTTGACTTGTATACGGTATTTGCAGTAGCTCTACCTCTCTCACTCTCTCTATCTCTGTCTCTTGCCAATGCTGTCTTTGTCTGGCTGCAGATCGGCGTTTAAGTGTAACACAACATTAAGCAGATGCCTGAGCTGAACGTGACCACAATATAATTACCCGCAGCGAGCCACATGCGCCACTTGTTGACTCTCTGGGCCCAGTTTTTGTTGGTCTTTAAAAGCTAATTTACATGCCCGGTCCGCTAGCCGGGGCCCCGCCGATTGGCCTCATAGCCTGGCCCAAAGTTACACAAAAAGCGTTGAAAGTAAAAGTTTTAACACTTTTCATTTTAGAAGTTGCTCCCCCGGCACGTGTCTCTATGTACCTTGTATATGTATATCTATCTATCTACCTATAGACCTCTCTCTCACTCTCTTTCTCCCTCTCTCTCTGTTTCTCCCTCTCTCGTCTTGGAACTCTGTGTTTGTGTTTCGTATTAAGCTCGAAGACGTTAAACAAATTATGAAGCCTCTACTGTCAAATGAAAGTGAATTTTTCTTCTGGCTCTTGCATGAGTTGACTTGTTGGATTTGCTTTTGTAATTGTTTTGGGCTATAAAGCAGCATTCGTCATGGAGTCATAACAATTGTCATGTGAATTGCGCGTTTTCAGCTACTTAATTATTTGATAAGGTTTATAAATGTTTGTATGTGTATATAAGTGTGTTTATATTCGGTAATATGCCATTAATAGGATTTGTTATGCAACTTAGAGCGTTACGAAAGAGTTCTGGAAGCTTGTTCATTAGATTGGAAAATAATAATAGATCAACTTTAAAATTTAATAAAGTTAAAATAATATTAAAATTAAACACAATTTAAAACATCTTTAATTTCAATAAATTTCCCACACTATGCAGCTGAAAATATTTGCATATAATTTCGTATCATGTGCCAATTCTAAAGTCAAATATGAAGAGCTTAGCAATTTATTGACACATTTAAAATCGAAGAGCAAATTTGCGAGACTTTAAAGATTCCATAAATTTGAATATACTCGTATGTCTATAGACTTTTGTACACAAAGAGCATTATGTTCGTAAATTGAGAAACATGGCAAAGGATGCGAAACACACAATCACACGTAGAAGCCGTACATAAGAGCTTAGCCATCAGCAGAGAAAGAAAGAGAGAGAGAGAGATGTGGAAAATAGTCGAATGATACTCGTAGCAAGTTCTACTTCAGCCTCTGGCTGTTGTCTAAACTACACATCATAATACGTGCTCCATATGCGCCAATAAGCATAATAAAGCCTAGGAACAGAACCAACAAAATCCGTACACAAAGCCACAAAAGGGCAGTCGGACAGCCGGACAGCAGGGAGAGAAAGGGTGTAGGTCAGGCTGAGCTGGCGAAAAAGGGGGGGGGAATTGCTTGCCAAACAACAAATCTGAAAACTTACAAGCGCCACTTACCAAAACTTGCCCCAAAACATAAAGTTGCACGGCGAGCGAGCGAGCGAGTAAGTAAAATTGTGTGCGAGAACGGCAAATGTGTCCCCAAGGAGTTGCACACGAAAACAAAACAGAAACACAACAAAAATTATGAACTCTGTTGATGTACCGAATTCCTGTTGGTCTAACCAAGGCACGCATTTCGATGTTGTTGCTATTAGTGTTGCTGTTGTTGTTGTTGCTGTTGTTGGCCAGTGTTGCCTTTTGGCATGTGGCGATTGTTGTCGACTTGAATGACAGCTTAAAGCGGCTTTAACTGTCCATGAGCACGCCCCACTGAACCGAATGACTGACCCCCATATTGGCCCGTCTCTCTCCCTCTCCCCCTCTTTCTCTCTCACCTAGAGGTGTCCTGCATCAGGTCGAGCTGGCTGACTCTGCATAGTCGCAGATATGAGTTTGATGAGGCTGCCAGTTAGTGTAATTGTTGGTCTATTCCTGGCTCTATTCCTGGCACTGTTTGCTTTGCTCTGCATTGCCAATCGCATGGCAAACTGTTGCTGTTTTCGTAGCCAAACCACACATACAAACCCACACACGCCCACACACACACACGCACACCGAAAAGTTAGCAAAAGCTGAAAAGTTGCATGCATTCTGTGCGCAAAACTGGTGTAACACGACTCTATCGATTAAAAGCTATAAATTTAAGAACCAAGTTTTGCCAAACTTTCGAATGTGGAAATGG